GCTCGGGTGAGAGCCTGGGCTGGCAGACACGTCCAGCATCTCCCACCAGCCTGGAGTGAGGGGCTGGGCCAGAGGGCCACGGGCAGGCTCAGGTCGGGCAACTCCCGGGGGCAGCACCAGGAGCCTCTGCAGGGCAGCATCTCAGGGAGCATCAGGATCACTCTGTACAGCCCCACACACCCCCCGGCCCGTCCAAGGGCCAAAGGACTCTTTGCTTCATTCAAACAACATCACCTTGCTTGGCCCACACCCGGGAGGCTTCTGTGCACTGCCAGAGAAACTGCCCAGAAACCTTCAGCTGGGGCTCCTGGGGCAGGTCAGGGAAGCTGCCCTGGGCAGCCCTGCCAGCTCTCAGGGGTCAGCTGGGCTCTGCAGGCTCAGCCCCCCCAGTAACAACACAACAGCCCAAAGTTTGTCTCACTTTTATTTACATAATTGCACAGCCCGTTTCCCCATGACACTGGAACGTGGTGGGTCAGACACTGATTTCCCACATCCACAAGCTGAACATCTCCTCTAGGAAGGAGGAAAAGACTTAAAGAGTGGCTGTTGGGTTTTGCAGGGGCACATGCAACAACTCCAATTATTGGCAACGACAATAAAGTCAAGGAAGCTGAGTGCAGCCATGGCTGCCCTACAGCACAGGGCCGGGCCCCCACTGCCCCAGCCAGGGGCTTCTGGCTTTCACAGTTGCATATTAGGATCAACAGTGGGTCTCCTAACTGGAACACTGGCTCCATTAAGTCCTTACCTGGGGAACGTGGTGTGGGAGTGCACATCCCTTGTCACCAGCCAGAACTTGGTGCACTGCAAGGCCAAGCTGCTGGGAGGCAGCCAGGGATGGGAAGGTGAAACCACTCCCCCCTTTTTCTCCACTGAGAATGTCCTGGTGACAAGGGGGTTGTTGGGAAGGGCCTGAAGAAAGGGGCACCCAGGACAAGGCACAGGGCAGTGGTGCAGTGCCCGCTGCCATGGAAGGGTGTGAGGAGCGGGGAGTGCCTGGGTGGGAACAGGATGGGACTGGAGCAGGGACTGGGACTGGAGCTGGGCTGCAGCAGCCCCTCCTCCAGGAGCACCGGGGCCAGAGTCATCCCTGCATGACTGGGAAAAGGGAAGGTGCCCATGGGTATGTGGCAGAAGGGAAGGGACAGGTCAAGAGAAGGGAGCAGAGATGCACAGCCTTGCTGCGGCAGAGGACATTCACCCCGTGGTCACATGAGCCCCTCATGCTCAGAACAGAGACCAGTTTGGAGCAGCCCACAGGGACTTGCCACTGGGCACAGAGAGGCTGCTGAAAGATGTGCCGAGGTATCCCTGAGTTGCACGAGAACCCTGGCACAGAAGATGGAGGAGAGTCGACAGAACCCAGGACCCAGGGCTGGAGCAATCCTCTTGGGAGAGACAGGACACTGTAGCCCCTGCTACTCATGCCACCAGAAACTTCCAGCCCAGGGTCATGGGACACATAAGGAAAAGCATCCTGCTTTGCAGCTAGAGAGGAGGAGGAAGAGGAGGAGGAGGAAGAACGTGGGGTGCTTTGAATCCAAGAAACGACAGGTCTCGGTCTAGCAGGGCATTGGACCGATCCACCTGGGTTCAGCAAAGGGGCAGAGGGACACAGTGTGTCACACACATCACCACCCACACATGGGCACCTTGGAGCCTGCCTCCTCCCTGCTCTCTGCCCTCACCATGACGGGAGCAGAGCCCAGGCTCCAGCCGAGCACACACCTCTGGAGCACCGGGCAGGGCAGCGGCACCGCCGGCGTCCTCACAGCCTGTGCCACACGGGAGGCTCAGCACCAGGCACGGGCACCACATGGCAGGGTGGGAGGGTGGCAGAGAGGCAAGGACCAAAGCCAAACCAGCGAGACCCTTGGCAGACGGGGCACTCTGAGACAGAGGGTTTCGACAGCTGGATGTGCTGGAAATGCAGGTGAAAAAAGAGGAAAGGAGGAGGAGGAGGAACACCAGCCCCACAAAAGAAGGGACCCAAACCTGTTCTCTGGGAACCAGCGAACTGGGAGGGTTTCACTAGAGGACACAACAGGCAGGCAGCGCTGTCAGGGATGAGCTCAATCCCAGCAGCTCCTCTGGAATGTGCAAATAAAGCGCAGAGACAGCCAAGAGCACCTGCGTCCTGCCAGCGCCGCAGGGCATGGCCTGTCCCCTAAGGTACGTGTGGAACTGATGCTATGGGAGGTCCAGCCTCAGGATGGCGAAAGGACATCAGCAAACAGAAACTTCAACCTTCTGGGGTCAGGAAAGCTCCTTTCTCGATCGTTTAAAACCAAAAGGCAATGGTGGGTTTAGCTAATACAAGCCATGACTCTCCACTCTTGGATCCTCCATCTGCCTTTGCCAGACACACCAAGAGCATCCGAGTCCTGGGGGTGAGCCAGGATAGGCAAGGAAAGCATCTTGTGAGATCACATCTGCACTGGAAAAGATCTCTCTTTTTGAAACTTATATCTCAAAATTACAGCACTTTACAATACAAAATGTCTCCATTCAGCATCACGTCATTTTACTCCTTCTGGGATTATAATAATTATTAAAAACACTCAACTTTCTAGAAAGGACAGAACACCATGAAAGAGACCAAAGAGTAACGGGAAGGCTGCTGCAGTATTATCAAAACCAATTTAGTGCAAAGGAGAAGGGGCCTTTCAAGAACGGATGATGAAAAGTGTTTTTTATATGCTCATTTGGAGAAAAGGCATTGATTTAACCTCTGAATGAGATCAGGCTGCCGGCTTCTATCCTGAAGCTTAGAACATCTACACAAAAGGACTGAAACACAATATGCATGGCCATTAAAAAATAATATTATATATAGATATATATATAGAGAGAGAGGGGGAGATATTTTCCACGTATGGTATTTAGTTATGGGAAAATGTCCCTGCAGAGAGGCATTTTCAGCCACTGGGCTCTTTTGGGCCATTTCACACACAGACATTGATTATTTGTCTGTTTGTCAAAGTCTGAAGCAGGTGCTGACCGCAGAGTCCCCTTGTGTGGGATGATTGTTTCCTGGTGCCCCCAGAGCTGCCCTGGGCACGTGAGGACACACAGCCCTCCTCGCCCTGGGCTGGCCCCAGTTGGTGGCCACGGGACGGCTCAGACGGTCGTCTCATCCGCGGTTTTCTTCATGAGCTTGGCGGAGAGGAGGGAGTGGGGCACGGGGTGAGGGCTCCTCGAGGCTGGGATCATCAGGCGGACTTTCTGGTTGGTCCTTCGCCACTCCGAGTACAGCTGGCAGTGGTAGCGGAACGAAACCTGGCGGGCGAGAACGCAGCGTCTGTCACCGAGCCCCTGTCCCCTGGTGGTGAGACGCCCTCACCCCTCTGCCTCCGTGTGTCCTTATCCCAAGGCAAGGGACACAGCCCTGACCCCGACACAGTTTGGGGCACTGCATGGCCCCAGCCTCTGATGGGGAATCAACCCCTTCCTGCTGAGAACAGGCTGAGCGTGGCACAGCCAAAGGGGCTCTCTGGGCAGCACTGGCACAGCAGGACGGGGTTTGCTCAGCTGGGTTTGGGTCCACGCTGATGAAACGCGGCGGGGAGGAGCCAAAACTCACCCCCTCACCCAGCCCCAGGCTGCAGGGAGCACCCTGAGTGGCCAAAACAAGCATCCGAATCCAACCAGCCTCCTCCCATCTCACAGAGCCCAGTGAACCTCCTTCACCCTTCCCAAAAACCTTCTCTCTTCTGTCTGCAACAACAGGACACCAACTGGACTCATTTTTCCTGCTGTGGCCTGGAAGACTTGTCCCCCAGGAGGGAGAAAGGGCAGGATGCAAAGGCTGGAGGGACCCGGAGCAGCCCGGCAGAGGCAGGAGCTGGCCCTGCAGTTTCGGAACGGCCCTGCAGTTTTGGAACAGGCCTGCGAGGGGAGCTTCAAGCTCAGCTTAAACACCGAATCCAGTCAGCCACTCATCCAAATCAGGCTTTCATACTTGGTAAAATTACAGGAAGCATTTAGCTGGCAAGTAGGAAGTACCAGGAAGTACATCTGACACGGAAAAGTCAGTATTCCAATTAATTCTATTCACGTCTGAGGCAACTGAGCTGCTTGATCTGTGCCCTCCCCTCGTTCCTGCTGCAGAGGTGCTGTGGCAGTGAGGTTGTTTGCTGCCAAACACATCTCCCAGTCTTCAGAGACAGCATGGGAGTGGGGAGCTAATGGTGGAAACCTCAAGGAAGGCTCCTGCTCCACAGGAGGGAGCTGCAGCCTTGGCCACAGCCTCTCCCACAACCCTCCCTCCCATTAGAGCCATCACCCCCCACCCACATTTTGGCCTCTTGTGCTGCACAGCCTGGGGTAGAACGTGGTAAATGTGAATAAAGGGGCTTCTCTTAAAGTCCTTCTCTGCTCAAGGAAATGTGAAGCACTGCAGAATTAGAGACATTTTAGTCAGGACTCGTTATTTTAAACACACAAAAAAAAAAAAAACCACGAAAAAAATCCCAAACCAAACATTTTTCCATTTCCCCCACGTTTCCAGCTTCTCCAGATCAGTTCTGGGAAGACAGAAACACTTCCTCTTAAGGGTTCCAGTTTTACCTTGGCTTTCTACAAAAAGAAGCCTCATGCAGGAACTTGCAGCATGGAGATTTTCCTCCATGGCTCCAGCTTTGCCCCCAGAAACTCTGCAGGCCCCCCCAGAGCAGGGGCTGCTGCAGCACCAGCTCAGCCTGCCCTGGCTCCCCAGCCTGTGGAGGAGAGGAATGTCCTGCCAGAGGGGAAGGGGTTACTCTGAGAAACTGTAGCATGAGATGGCAGGGAAATGTGTTGGGGCATTTCTACTGCCCACAGAAGTGCCAGCTTTTTTGGGGTCCCACTCTTCCTCCTGCAGCAACTGCACCCCTTCCCTTCCCCAAATGGTGCTTCCCAGCAAGCAGCTGGAAAAGGGCAGCGACAGGGCATGAGCACACACAGGGCTTGGAATAGGAGAGCCAAAACGAAGATCCAAACCCAGAAATCCAGCCAGCAACAGAATAAAAAAAAGGGGAATGGGAAACAGAGGGAATTCCCTGGCCTAGGAGTCCCTGGAGAGCAGCCCCAGGCCCTGGGGAGGGGCTGGGCAGGAGCTGCCCCAGCCCTGCTGGGCTCTGCTGGCAGCACTGACAGGTACCACTGCTCACAGGTACCACAGCAAACCCACATCTGCTGTCCTGCTCTCCTCAACTCCCTGCCAGCTGCAAGCTCCTGGCCCCCTAATTCAGCACATCCAGGGATGCCAAGACAGGCCTCTGCAGGAAGCTCTTTCCCAGCAGGAATCAGTTCAATCCCCAGACAGGCTCAAGCGCAGGTTCCCAGGAACCCCCAGTGCCCCCCAGGCAGCAGCAGTGGGCCAGGGCAGGCTGGCTACCCAGCCTTGGTCTGGGGCTCAACTCCAAAACCCAGCATGAGAGAAGCCAGAGGCTTCCCCAGGGCCAGAGTGTTCCTTGCACACACCTTCTGTCTCACTGACACCTTAAAAGGGTTGTGTAGGAATTTGTTTAGCTGTGGGCCAGACACCCCCAAGGCCAGTCTGCACCCCCTCTGGGCATGGCCAGTGTGTGCTGGGCAGCACAGAGGGACATGATGGCAGATGATTTAGGGGCCAAACACGTTCCAGATTTTACTTTTCCCCTGAACTACCCAGGTACCAAGTTTGTGTTTCTTCTCGAAAATAAGAGCAGACACCCCAGATGGGGCACTGCCTGCCCCAGCCCCAGCCCTTCCCACCCAGCCCCAGCTCCAGCCCCGCTCAGGCACATCTGTGCCAGGTACATGACACCCCGGGAACACGGCTCCCGTGCCAGTCTGGAAAGCAGGCGGTCAGGAAGTGGTTTCTCATCCTCAGCAACAGCTCGAGCAGCTCCCACGGGAAGACAATTCAAGAGGAAGAGCCCAAGGTTTCCTCCCGTGGGGAGGCAGAGCTGGAGGGCTGTGAGCCAGCGCTGCCAGGTCCTGCTGGAGCAGGAGCAGGGCCCCGGCAGGCAGCCGGCACTTACCAGCGTCCAGAGGACGTAGATTGTGAAAAGTGCAATAGTGAGTGCTATGAGTCCGATGGCCTCCAGGCGGCTGTTGAACTGCAGGTGGTCCTGGGCCCCGCGCAGGCACAGCCAGCCCGAGATCGCCGCCAGCGGGGTGATGAACAGGAAACACACCATGTCACAGAACAGGGTCCTCTTCTCATTGCGGGGCCCGGGGTCCTTCAGCCACTGCGGGGAGGGCGGGAGAAGAGTGTCAGTCAGCACACGGCAGGAGAAGGGTGTCAGTCAGCACACGGCAGGAGAAGGGTGTCAGTCAGCACACGGCAGGCGAGAGGAACCGCGGTGCACTGGGCACCCGGTACAGGTGCTTAACTCCCATGAACCTTCTCAAAAACGGAGCTAGAGAGTGCCAAGCCTGTTTTTAACAACCAGCAAGAGACAGGGAGGATGCAACTGAAGAATATGTGCAGGGGAAGGCAGTAGTGGGTAAGGAAGCTCCTGGGCTCTTCACTGGGGCAGGGAGGGCAGGCAGGGGGAGGTGGGTTCAGTAAAGCCGAGTTTATGAGATTTGGCTGGTCTTGGGCTGTGCTTCAACAGAAAAAGGTCCATGACTCTGTAACTCGTGTAGGGGCTATGGGAACCAGGGGCACTGGGGTCTGAGGCCAGGCCAAGCTATAAGGGCAGCTCTCCCAAATCTTTCTCTTGAGTTCCTTGGGAGAATTGTGGCATTTTAGAGTTTCGCTGGCAATCACCAAACATTCACTTCTTCTAGGAATCCCAATTTGCTTCTAGCCTGGGTTCATTGTAGATACTCGACTTCAACAACAGCAATTGTTCTATTTTTCTGGGATTACGTTATTTTCAGCCTTTCCTTTTTTTAGAACAGCAAGCTGCTGTGGTTCCTACTGATCCCAAATTGTCACTGCACAGCTTTACTGGGATCTGTGTGTGCTGGGCTGCTGGATCCTTCCTCCTTCCCTGCACAAGGATGACTACCTCATTAGGGGTTTTCTTTTTTTTTTTTTTTAATAAAAATGGGAGAACATTACTGAAAAGGCACAGTGAGAGCAGGGAAGGGACTATCAGTATAGATTGAAGTGGGGTCCTCACTTTGGAACAGACAGCTTGGGAAGGGACCCATCGGAGAACTCTGCACACAAAGCTCCTTTCCTGCAGGGAAACCACCACTGAAGCAGCAATACAGAAGGGGTGGTGACAGGTATGCCAGGAATGAGGGAGATCTCAGCACAGGTAACCTGAGGACAGGGCTGGCCAGAGACACACAGAGAGCATGAGCTCAGAGGGGAGCAGGGGAGGGGGCACAGGGGAGTGCAGATTTAACTCCAGCAGGGATGTTCAGAGAGACAGAGCAGAGGGGGAAGGATGGGAGGAGAAGCACAATGGGGGAGATGGCAAACCCGGGCAAGGAGCAGGGAGGTGGCTGGGCTGGTCAGAGCCACGGTAGCAGCACGTTCTGCAGCACCTGGGACAGGACACTGAGCTGGACCTGAGCAGAGGAGAGGATGCTGCAGTGACAGGAATGAGCCTGGCCAGGAATGTCACCTGGGAGGACTGATAAGCATGATATTTTGGAGATGTCACCTGAAGCACCTGAATGCTCCTGTGGTAACAAACAATAAACTGCCATTGATTTTAAAGCCATTCTGAGCACAACGTCATGGCCAGACAGCCAGAAGGAAATGTCTTAGAATCACAGAATCATTAACCTTGGAAAAGACCTCCAGGATCATCAAGTCCAACCATCAACCCAGCACCACCATGTTCACCACTAACCCATGTCCCCAAGTGCCACATCCACATGTTTTCTGAGCACTTCCAGGGATGGTGATTTCACCACTGTCCTGGCAGCCACTTCCAATACCTGACAACCCTTTCAGTGAAGACATTTTTCCTAATATCCAACTTAAACCTGCCCCCCTCCCCCCAAGTCCAACTTGAGGCCTTTTCCTTTCATTCTGTCACTTGTTACCTGGGAGCAGAGCTCCACCCTGGCTCCACCTTTTTGCCGGGGGTTTTTGGGGGGCGGGAGGTTCTTCCTTGGGCTTCTTTTCTTCCGGGTTGACCCTCACCCAGCTCCCTCAGCTGCTCCTGGTGCTCCAGACCCTTCCCCTGCTCTGTTCCCTTCTCTGGATACACTCAACGTCCTTCTTGTTGTGAGGGGCCAAAAACTGACCCCAGGATTTGAGGTGGGGCCTCAGCAGTGCCAGCAAAGGAGGACAGTCACTAGCCTGGTCCTGCTGGCCACACTATTGCTGGTACAAGCCAAGTGCCACTCACATTCTCGGGCACACCTGCCTCCTGTTCAGCCACTGTCAAAAGCAGCACTCTGGGTCCTTCTCCACCAGAGAGCCTTCAGAG